AAAAAAAACTAGACTAGTAAAAAATATAAAAGTAAATAGATAAGAATAAAGAAAGAAAATATATAAATAGAAAAAAATAAAAAGTATATCTAGATAAACTACTATTAATATTAATACTAGTAATAAAATAACAGTATTTTATAGAGCTAGAGCCTTACTTATAAAATGCTTAAAATTGACAAAACTAACTTACATTAACTATATACAAGTTTATATATACTCTGTTAGTATATGCAATTGTTATATTCTGGCAGTAAAATATAAACGAAAATTTATTGATAAAGTATAACTACTGTTTTGGCTATTTAAATTGCTAACACATTAGTTAAACTACCAATACATTATCATTTGCACGTATCCAACTATACAGAAAAAATTTTTTTTAATATACCAGAATTCATATCATTCTTGACTAAAAATTTTTTAGTATTATTCTTATAGTCTTTGTATAGACGTATAAATTCTTTTACATTTTTACACTTTAATACAATAAATTATTAATTATTTGGCTTTAGTGAAGTCTTATTTATTATTTTTTTAAAGATCTTTTAATGATTAGATTTCTGATTAATATTTGTTAATAATTAGACTTTTAATTAAAATTTCTATAGGGGATAAAAATAGTCCAAATACATATATATCAATATTACAGAGATGAGAGCCAGACATCACAAAAAAATTTCTATAAGTAAGGCTATAAGATCTTTTATTCTGCTCTAGCCCAAATACTAAATATAAAAAGGCTTGAAATCTATAAAATAAATATATATATAATATGTAAAGACAAGACAAAAGATATAAATCATCTTGTCAAATACAAAGAATATCAAAGTATTTAAAATATTATTGAAGATAAAGCAAGTTAAAAAAGCCTCAGAGTATTCTAAAAAGAAAATATAGAAAAAGGACTTACAGACTAAAAAAAGTTAAAGTTTTATTCTTTAAAAAAATACAAAAAGAAAGGATAAAAACAAGAAGATAACTGATAAGAAGCCTTATAACTAAAATCAAAAAAAAAAAATTAAAAACAAAATTAAAAATAGAAATATGTAACAAAAAATGCTTAATGTAATTAAAAAAAAAGTTTGATGAAAGATTTTAGAAATATATATAGAACTTCAAATATAAACTAGTTAATGATTAAAAAAAAAACAAAATTACAAATAAAAATAAAAGACAAAAGGAAAAAAGAAAAAAATAGTACAAGAATCTAAAAATAAAAAAATGGAATAAATGTTCTATAGAATAAGTAGGCAAACTCCGCAAACTCTGCAACTTCGCAAACTCTGCAACTCCGCTATTAAAAAATTAATGATTACTAATCATTAGCAAAGCTTATTTCTTATATTGCCCACCTATTATATAATAGAATTACTAAAAAAAAAATGCAAAAATAAGTTTAAGAAAAAAAAACCAAATCCTAAGTCTAGTATAGGAGAATAACCAAAACTTAATCAAATACTATATTAAGCTAAACTAGTTTTTGTGAACCAATATTGCAAAAAAGAAAGGCGAAACTGACAAGATTGATAGCTTCTAACTCATAGTTAAAAAAAATAAATTTTCAGAAAGTTAAAAATCTAATATAAAACAAATAGTTGCTTAGGCAGATCATACTTGTTTTTTAGCCAAAAGAGTTTTTATTAGTACAGAATTATAATATAGAAAATTATATTTAGTATAAATATAAAATTCTAATACTTTTAATTAAAATAATAAAAACAAGATTGTCAAAAACTAATTAATTCTTTTTAACAATCTTTTGGTTAACAACAAAAGGTTAAACTATAGCAAAAAGTTATAAAAAAATAACAAAATATATATAATGATACTCTTGTATTATACAAACAAATTTGCTATTAACTAAGCTTATATATATATAATACCAAGAAATAAATATATAACAACAAGTAAACTATCATATTTTTTTCTAAAATAAGCTATTTTTTTTTAGCAATTTTGAGCTTAAAAAATCAAAAGTAAGTATAATAAATTTTTAAAAATTTTAATTAATTATTATTAATTATTAGAATTTTGCTAACTATAACCAGCAGTGATCATTACTAGTATGTAATTAGCTTGTATAACAAAATAATTTTTTTTAAAAAAATATCAATATCTCAAGAATTTGTTTATGAAACTACCTTCAACATTCTAACAAAAAAAAATTTCTTGCTAAATTTTGTATATATCTAATACCTTGCTAAAATCCCAAACCTCGCTCTAACCCTAAAGTAGAGAAAATAAATTTTTATTTTATTTATAATTATTGGCTAATTATATACTGGTGATAATCACCGCTGGCTCTATTTAGTTTAACTCTAATTATTATATATATTTTTATATATAACAACTAATAGTAATTATATCTAGATAGCTTATTTTAAAGTAAAAGATATTTTTAAGTTTTTTAAACAAAAAAAGAGTAGCTTATTTTTGAGAGTAGCTTATTATAGAGAAAATACAATATATCTTTAGGTCAAGCTTTTTAGTAAACTCTCTTATATTTTGAATATTTAAGCTAAAAAGATATTTAAAAACAATATCACTGTAAGTTTTTAGACAAGAATATTAACTAAAAACTAAAAACTAGACTATATAACTATAAAACTTACAAAAAAAATCTCATATATTCTTATTAGTCTACTACTTTTTTTGAGAAAATTTTAGTAAAAAGCAGATATTTTAATTTATCTTTTTTAAAAGATCAATATTATATGCACCAAATAGCCAATATTATTTACTTTCTAAATTAGTATAACAAAACAATAAATATATCAAAGCATGTGCTTTGAATATAACAATCTGATCAAATAATACTTTGAAACTACTATTGAATACCAATCTATCTATATTCTGATAATAAAGTTTTTTTAAAATAGTTTTTCACTTTTATATATTATTTAAATAAATTTTAAAGTAGAAATTAGTTTGTTTAGTAGTATATAATTTTTACAAACCTTTTACAGACTTATAATTGTAATATTAAAATAGAAAATTTTCTTTTTTGTTTTTTGTTTTTGATACTTTCTTATCTTTTTCTTTTCTTGCTTGTATATTTTATTATAATCCTCTATATCTTTATATTTTTTTTTGTGCTTTCTCTTATTTCTTGTTGACAAGCAATTTAGCTACTATAGCTCATAATTGAAGAAACCAAATTCTCGATAAGTTGAGAATCCAACATGAAGCTAACTGTTGCTTAAGTAGATTATACCTAGGCTTTAATACTAAGTAAGTCTTTATCAGTATAAAATTATAGTATAAAAATTATATTTTACCTGTTAACAATAATTTTGATATTTTTAATAAAATAATAAAGACAGGATTGCTAAACATAAAAACAAAAAAGAAATATTATTAACTAATAAAAATTAATACTAAATATATCTTATATTTTTCTTTATATTTAACTATTATATATCAGAGTAAAATTTAATTAACTTATTAATAATTAGTATAAGACAATTATTAATTTGATTTTTATTAGATTTATTCGAACCTGATATAATATTTAATATTAAAATATTGTTTATTTCGAATTGCTTTTCTTATAATAAATTATACAAAACTTTATAGATTATTCCAGTAGTATGTTTAATAAAAGTCAAAAATATAATAGTTATTTTAATTAAATAAAAATATCTAACCTTTTACAATAAACTTCATACTCTGACTAAAACCTTACTAAAACAAGCCTTTAAATATATGTATAGGTAAAAAAATATCAAATAAATAATTATATCAAATAGATTAATTTAATGTTTAGTACTGATTTTATTAATAAACTATATATTTATTTTTTTAGCTATTAAAATTTATCTACACACAAATTATATCTGTATACATCATTTTCTATATAAAATGATTTTTAATGTTTTTTAAATCCTAAATTTTAACCATTACAAATGATTTAATTATGTACTATTTTTTTTTAAGACCCATCAATGACTTCAATAATATCATCATCGTGTGCTTCATCAACATGATATCTCGTATCAACAACATTCATTTCACCATTATAATTACTATACCTACTTTCAGTATCTCTTGAATAATTTCCGTATAACGATGACGGTACTTTTTGTGTGGAATTAATTGAATTATTTGAATTAATTGAATTACTTGAATTAATTGAATTAATTGAGTTAATTGAGTTAATTGAATTATTCGAATTATTCGAATTATTCGAATCATTCGAATTATTTGAATTATTCAAATTATTTGAATTACTTATATTTAAATTGTTCATATTATTATCTTCAATAATTTCATCATCATTGTCATTATCATTATTATTATCATCATTCGATTGACCTGGCGTTGGATAGTGATCACTATTTTTATGTCTAAATCGATTTTTACCTTGATATAATTTATTAATCACATTAATTGCTAAGTTCACACTGGTTGTAATTAATGTTAAAAGAGGTATTATATCGTATATTACTGTGTTTTTTTGATATAATACCTATAAATAAAAATAAATAAATTAAAATTAAGAATATAGATAAAACGGTAAAAATATTTAAGAATAATATCAATACCTGAATAATAATTTGGGGAATATCTTTAATAAATATATTAATACAAGACCACCAAAAAATTTTAGATTTTGCCTTTAAACTAAACGGAGCTCGAGCAAATGCCAATCCTGCGACATTTGAAAATAGCACCGTAAGTGCTTCAATATTTGCACCTGCAATTAATGTAATAATTGCTGTGATTTTTCCAAATTTGGTAAACCATGTAAAAAATTTTTTATTGTGATTTTCTTGGTCTATTAATAAATAAGCTACTATGATGTTTAATCCTATTGGAACTGTCAGAAAAACTACACTATTGTTTTTTATAGATAAATTTCATAACTGCATTAGTTAAATTTGAAAAATGACGTATAACAAATATAAACTAAAAAAATTGTGAATTTAATCTTACCTTGGAATATAAAGCCATCTAACGTCTTTACCATTAATACCGGCAAAGAGAGAATTTATTACTACATCAAAAATAATGAAGCCCAATTGTATAACAACAACGTTATGTCCCTATAATAAATCGATTAATATTATATAATTTTTAGTTGACATTTATAACAGAAATTCTAATTAAATACCGTTTTTTCTATGCGTCGAGCTATAAGGAAAAGAATTATAGGAACGCAAACGGCCAAAAATACCAGAATAAATCTCAACATGTACTTTTCCCATAAATCAGCTGTCAAGAAAAAATTGTAAATAAAATGCTGTATGTATAACCTGAAATAAAATGCTGGCTGTATATATAACTTGAAATAAAAGACTATTTAGCATAACTTACGCGATTCTTGAAATCCGTATGTGGGATCTAAATATCGAGTAGTTTGGCCTGTTATTATTGGGGTATAAGCTTTATTCTTGATCAAACTATCTAAAATTTTAATAACTGTAACAACACTTGGTTGTTTAGGATCTCTTGTTGATTTAATATCAAGATTTAGTAATTCTTGCTTCACGATATTATTTGAAGGATCTATTTGAGATTTTCTATTTGTTGATAATCGACTTTTTTCAACCGGGATCATTTGGGAAAGTTCAGCAGTTAAATTGTCAAAGAACTGGTTTCGAAGATTTTGATCAAGCGAGTCAAAGTACATTGTGCCGTTCACCGTCAGGCGTAAAAGACCTGATATAGAAGCTGGTATATTTATGTATATTTATTCGAAAAATTATTAAATTGATCGTGTGTATTATTTATTTATTTGTAGAATAGTAATATTGTTTTCTGAATTTTTACCTGAGTATATATCATCTTTTGGTGCTATACAATATTTTTAAAAAGAAATTATTTATTAGCATTTATTTTTTTTTCAATTTTGCTTCAAAATCATTTATGAATTACCAGTGTTAAATGTCCATATATGATCACGTAATCCTTTTAGAGGATCTTTATAAGCATAATTCTTTACAAAATTATTATCAAACATGACATAATAATTGGCACCAGGCACACTAAAAGTGCAAGGTAAAATATTTACTTTCACAGTTGTACTATTATCAATGAGAGTACATAAAGTTGCCGGCGTTGATTGACGAAGTGATTGTTTTTCAGTAGCAGGATCGAATTGATATATTGATATGTTGCCATAGGAAAGTTCCACCGAATTGAGAAAAGTCACAGTAATGTAAGATAATGAAGTTGTGTCTAACATACTAGCATTGATCGAAGGATAAGTAGATTGGATTGCTAAATTGTAATAAGCATCTAAAAATTTTA